AACTAATATAAAGATAAGTATTAGTTCACTTTTTTTTTGTTTTTTCAGTTTGTTTATCTGTTATTAATACTACTTCTTGTTTTCTTTAAATCTTGTGCTTTGCCAAAAAGGGTTAATAGGGGCTAAGATCAAGATCTTAAACCTAGAACTAATACAAAGATAAGTATCAGTTTACTTTTTTTTATTTTTTAGTTTGTTTATCTGTTACTAATACTACTCCTTGTTTTCTTTAGATCTTGTGCTTTATTAGAAAGGATTAATAGAGGCTAGAATCAGAATCTTAAACCTAAAACTGATACAAAAATAAGTACCAGTTCACTTTTTTTTGTTTTTTTTTCAGTTTGTTTGTCTGTTACTAATATTACTTTTTGTTTTTTTTAGGTTTATGCTTTACTAAAAAGAATTAATAAAGGCTAGAACTGAAATTTTGTATCTAAAACTGGTACAAAGATAAGTATCAGTTCACTTTTTTTTTGTTTTTTTTTTGTTTGTTTGTCTTTTACTAATACTAATTCTTGTTTTCTTTAGATCTTATGCTTTGTTAAGAAGGTCAAAATTGAGATTTTAAACCTAAAACTGATATAAAGATAAGTACTAGTTTACTTTTTTTTATTTTTTTTATTTTGTATATTTGTTACTAATACTACTTTTTGTTTTCTTTAGATATTGTGCTTCACTAAAAAGGGTTAATAGAGGCCAGGATCAGGATCTTAAACCTAGAACTGGTACAAAAATAAGTATCAGTTTACTTTTTTTTTTGTTTTTTTCAATTTGTTTTTACTAATACTAATTCTTGTTTTTTTTTAGATCTTGTGCTTTATTAAAAAGGGTTAATAAAGACTAAAATCAGGATCTTGAATCCAAAACTAGTACAAAAATAAGTATTAGTTTGTTTGTCTTTTACTAATACTAATTCTTATTTTCTTTAAATCTCATGTTTTGCTAAAAAGGGTTAATAAAGGCCAAGATCAGAATCTTAAACTTGGAACTAGTATAAAGATAAGTACTAGTTTACTTTTTTTTTTTGTTTGTTTAGTTTGTTTATCTTTTACTAATACTAGTTATTGTTTTCTTTAAGCTTTGTGCTTCATCAGAAAAAGTTAATAAAGACTAAAATTAGAATCTTGAACCTAAAACTAGTATAAAGATAAATACCAGTTCACTTTTTTTTTGTTTTTTTCAGTTTGTTTGTCTGTTACTAATACTACTTCTTGTTTTCTTTAGGTTTTGTGCTTTGTCAAAAAAGTTAATAGAAGCTAGAATCAGAATCTTGAATCTGGAACTAATACAAAGATAAGTACTAGTTCACTTTTTTTTTGTTTATTCAGTTTTTTTATCTTTTACTAATACTAATTCTTGTTTTCTTTAGGCCTTATATTTTACTAAGAAGAGTTAATAAAGGCTGAGATCAGGATTTTAAACTTTGAACTAGTATAAAATAAGTACCAGATTATCTTTTTTTGTTTTTTGTATTTTTTTGTATTGTTATTAATTCTTGTTTCTTTTTTTATAAGTTGTATATTTTACTAGAAAAGTTTAATAAGGACTGAGATATATAATATAATTTTTTATTATATAATTATTATGTAATTATTATTTAATAAAAATTAAATAAAAAATTATATTAAATAAATAATTAAAAAGTTAATAAATTAATAAATAATTTTAAAATTTTTTTAATTATTTTATAATAGTAAAATTTTCTAATTATTTTGCAATATTGTAAAATTTTTTTGATTATTTTACAGTATTGTAAAATTTTTCTAATTATTTTACATTATTGTAAAATTTTTCTAATTAATTTACTTTGTATTATTGCAAAAATTTTCTAATTATTTTGCAATATTGTGAAATTTTTTTAATTATTTTATAATATTGCAAAAATTTTCTAATTATATTGCAATATTATGAAAATTTTCTAATTATTTTACAACATTGTGAAATTTTTTTGATTATTTCACAATATTGCAAAATTTTTTTATTTTGAAAAAATTTTGCATCAATTGTAATTATTTCAAAAGATTTTTAGTATGCAAAATCATTCACAATATTTTACTTATATTTTTTGCTAATGTAGGTTAGATGTTTAAATCTCATTAATAGTGAAAATTTGAATAATTACTTATATAATATTTATATTATAATAACTGTTACTAATAATTAGATTAAAATATCTGTAATAGCAGTTATATTAGCATGATTGGCAGATTATAACAGTGTTAGCAAATGATCTAAATCATAACATTTTTTTAATATGACCTTAGTCATATAATCATATGACTTGTTATAGATCATATACATAGATCATATTAAATAATAGTAAAAAAAATTTTTGTTATAAATTTTTCTATATTAAAAAGTCATAAGTCATATCAATATTCATTATGACCAAATGACTTATGACAGGTCATAGAGGTCATATAGGTCATTTAAGGTCATCTGCCAATACTAAATTATAAGACATTCATATAATAGTTATATAATATTGTCCTTTGGAACAAGGTCTGTAATTATTTGAAAGAATGCAAACTGGCAATCAACCAGTGCAAACACTAGATAAGTCTTTGTAATTGTATAAATTTGTTGAAATTAGGTAACAAAAAGTTTATTTAAAAAAACCTAAATAGAGAAGTAGCTGAATTTTTAATAGCTCTACTATAAAGGCTAACTTAGAGAAATAGATATCAAAGTCATAATACCTAGTTATAGTAACCAGATAAGTAAGAACCTTCAAGTTGGGAATCTTAGAGATATCACTAACTAAACTGCTAAAATGAACTGAAAAAAAAAGATATCAGGCCAACTTGATATACCAATGGACTGATTATAGTTCTATACAGACTATCTAAATTGAGAGTTTGGTAAAAAAGCAAGTGAAAAACCAGGATATACTAAAATACTAGAATTATGCTATGAAGTAGATGTTAAGGTCTAAGTGAGCTCTATAAAAGTATAACAGTTTAATAATTAAGCTTTGATTGCAAATGTTGGTTCTGCTATAGCAATATTTAGATTAATTATAAAAATAAATACAAAAGGTTCTAAAAGGTTTATCTTAAAGATAAAATAATTCTAAAGTTGAGATAATAATCTGGACATTAGGTATAACCTAGTGAAGTTAATGAGTTTGCAAGTTCAAAGGGTTTAAAGTGAAGTATTCAAGCAGAAGTGTTAGGTATAACAATTGGTAGAGAACCTTTAGGCAAACACTTTAAATAAGTAATATAGAAAAGTTACAAATATAACCAATTGTACATTCTTCTTGTAGTAGTTCACTAAACCACATTTACTATTATTAAATTAAGTCAAAAGACCTAAAAGGTCATCTTAATACCAAAAAAAAAATTACAATAATAAAAAAAAACATTAATTAAAACCTAATTTTAAAAAAAATACAAAACAGACTAATATAACTTAAATATAAACTTAAAACAGTAGTTTTTAAATATAATATTAAAAATATATTTTATAACAAGTATAAAAAATACAATGCAAAAAAACTAACAAATAAGAAAATAAAAAAAAAACACACTCAAAAAATATAAACAAAAAGATAATGAAAAAACAAAAAAAAATAAAATAAAAAAAAAACTATTAGAACTTGTTATGAAAAGAAGAAAACTCTTTTATTATAGACTTTAAGTAATCAAATAAATAACCTATTTTGTTTAAAGTAGTGTAACAGGTTGTACTTAAGCATCAATAAGGTGACCAGATAATACTAAACTTAGATATTAGATGTTTTTATATAATTACAAAAGTAATTTCAAGAATTTTAATAAAATATTAACATGATTGCTTAAGAAAAAAAATTTATATAAAGATAGTTAAAATAATATATTTATAAATGTTTGTTATTTGTATTTAAAACATTTAAAACTTATATTAAAATATTTAGATTTATGCTATTATAAAAACTGTAACCTTTTTATATACAAAATAAAATTGTAATCATTCACTTTACTATACAACAACAAGCAAATAGTTCAAAATAGTAACAGTATATAAATTAATAAACACATAATAATAATTTTGTCTATAAGAATTACTTTAAAAAAAAATACCATACTTTATAAGTTAAAAGGTGTAAAAAGTAATAATATCTAGGTTGAAATATAAAAACTTGAAATTGATCAAAAAGGAAAAAAGATACCCTTTATATATCTTTTTACTTTGTAAAAGTTATGTGAATTCAAGCAACGTTAGAAGATACTATGCTTAAAATACTTTACTAAACTGAAAAACCCTTTTACTAGATCTTACACTTATTCAAAGATAAAAAACTATTATAATTTGTTATTTAAAAGACACTATCTTAACACGCTTATTAATAATTATATAATTTCTAAGTTTAGCATTATCTAGTCACTAATTTATATAGTAATAAAATACTGAATGTTGTAAAATTAATTGCACCATAATATTGACCGAATGGATTGTCATCCCGCTATCTCATATTGGTGACACTTTTTTTCCGCGATGAGAGTACTAAATATAATCATAATTAGATCAACTAGAACACACATTACGTATACATTTTAGAACGTTTTAATTACCTATATAAAACAATTTAAACACATCGTTAAAAAAAACTATTAATAAAAATAAATATTGGCCAAATGTAAATTTCATCAATATCGGCACTGGGAAAAGAAAGAAATAATTTACATCATAAACAAGTCAAAATTCGTAAAGTGTGCTCACACACAGACATCAGGTGCTCTGTACTTCTACAGCAGCGTCCTTCGGAGAATTAACAAATTGACAATAAATATCACTCGTTCCACTCATAACAACTCAAAAATTTATAAAATTATGGTGACCAGCTTTTAATCCTAAATCGTTCTATCTAGAGAGTAAACTTTTTATTACTATACTCAACCCTCCTAAAGACGAAAGATACAATCATGTATATGTTTAACTTTGAACTGATCAGCGATAAATAAATAATAGGCACGAAAAAATTGTATAAATTTCTTATGAATGATAGTCAACAATGATTATTTTGACACCTCATGAATTGCCTCAGCTAAATATTTGACATTGCTTGAAGAAATACCAGCAATTGAAATACGACCATCTTTAGTTAAGTACACATGGTAATCGTGAGTGAGACGTTCGACCTTTATAGAGTTGAAAACATGAAAACGTTATTACATTGGAAGTTATTAAGGGAAGCGATTGATATTCACCTGTTCAGGTTTTAAGCCAGTATAACAAAACATTCCAATTTGATCAGTGATATGATTCCAAGGAAGTTTAGATTCAAAATCTTCGACCAAGTGATGCTTAAGTTTCTTTCGCATTAACTTTATGCGATCAGCCATCATTTTCACTTCACTGAGCCTACGAAATAATCAAACACATTGTGTTAATTATAAAATATGTCAAGCATTTAGGGTAGCAACAAATATTATGTAATATCATGGGAAAAAATTGTGAGAATCTTATGTTCGCATTAAAAATATATGTAAGGTAAAAACACGTATGCATAGTAATGAAATTGTGCAAAATTTGTCACTATCCTTATTCACTCCTATAATCTTTCGTGTTCGAAGTTTCATAAACAGCATTGATATACTTGCCATTCTTTATATAATTCTGGATCGCTAAGTACATAACTTGCAATTCGTGCACCATTTACTGGAGGGTTAGAATACATGGGTCGAATCACCAATCTAAGTTGTGAATCCACTGCAGCCTTTTCTTTTGGGTTCTCAGTGATCAATGAAAATGCACCAGCTCGTTCACCATACAGTCCCATGTTTTTAGCAAATGATTGTGATAAAGCAATTCGATGCCCATCAGATACAAACTTGCGGACAGCGTACGCATCACGATCTATATCACCAGACGCGAATCCTTGATAGGCCATATCAAAAAATGGGAAGTGTCCACGTTCCTAACAAAAACGAAGTCTTAACAAAAATTTTAATCACAAATTATTTAAGAAGGCATACCTTTATGAGCTTGGAAATTTGATCCCACTGTTGTGACGTAGGATCAACACCAGTAGGATTATGCGCGCAAGCATGCAAAAGAAAAATTGAGTTCTTGGGTGCATTCTAAATTAAAGAAATTTCACACAAAATTAATATATTATATAGTTTTATTACCTAAAGAGCTCAAGAAATAAAAGCCTATGATACCCGGATATCTTCCATAAAACCTTCGAAATCTAAGCCATTGGTAGTTTTATCAAAATATCTATATTGGGCAATTTCAAATCCCGAATCTTTAAAAACGGCACCGTGATTACCCCATGTCGGAGTTGGAAAATATATCTTTTTTTGATAAGGATAGAATCGATTTAAGAATACGCCACCGATCCGGAGAGCTCCAGTACCCGAAATAGATTGAGTAACCGCTATCTAAAGGGCGTAAAGGCAGAAGACCATGATTCATGAAGGTACATAATAAAAATCGACAAATATTTGTAGATGGATGTTCGTTCTTACCAACCCTTCTTGCAATGGCTCGGAATCTTTACCGTATGCTAAAAGTGCTGCTTCTTGGGTGAAAGCGGGAAGACCGGTAATAGGTAAGTATTCTTTATCAAGTTTATTTTGAATAATCTTTTGTTCCGCCTATAATTCAAAATATCAAGAAAGGCTAATTTTGAATCCTATAATAGTTTATATATGCCAATTCTTAAATCACATACTTTTCTAACGGCATTCAAAACATACGGTTTTCCATTATCATCCCTGTATGCACCAACGCCTAAATTCATTTTTTTTGGATGAGTGTCCTTTTTGTAGGCATCGGTAATACCGAGGATGGCATCCGGTTGACCTTTAAAATTGGAATTAATCCACATATTAAGCGAATCACCATTATTCTTTCACTCGACAATAGAGGTTTTTTAAAATTAATAGATACGATAAATACCTTGGGGAATGTGTGCCCAACTAGTAATAAAAGCACGAAGTGGATGAGTGGAAAACACCGTTAAATTTTTGTTATTACGAATCGATCGCACGCAGTATGAAAAACGAGAAGATAGCATTTTGCGTCAAAAAATTTTTAGAAAAACGATCTAAGAAAAAAAATTGTATATCGATATTTATTTATTTGTAAACAGATTAAACTTAAATCAAATTGTTATATTTGGTTAATCAGATTAAGTTAATGATTGTTTGGTCACGAGAAAATATCTACGTCATACGTCACCTTTTTAGTGCCTTTTTAGGTAATAATGAAATGAAATTCAACCACATGAACATTTGAATTTAAATGGGAACCAAGAATTGGAATTCATTTGAGTATGTTTAAATTTTAAAATGAATTATGATTACTAAGGTTATCAAGAGTACACAAGCATTATTCGTAGTAATTTTTTATTTTTTTTTGGTATTAAATTATACGTAGTAATAAGAATATCCTTATAGGATCTTAAATAAGTTTATAAAAATTACTATATAGAAAAGTCAATAGAAAAGAGAAATTATTTATAGTAAAATTTTTTTAATTTTTAAATTAAAATAACTCAACAATTATCTAATCAAATTCGTTAAAAATTTTTTATTTTAATCTTAAAATTATATAGAATTAAAATAAAAAAATTATTAAATTTAATAAAATAATTGTTGAAATATTTAAGCTTAAAGTCAAGAAAATTTTTATTTAGAAAAAATTTGTTTCTTTTCTATTAACTTATTCTTATATGTTGTCTTTAATATATAAATTCTATACTGTATGTTTTATGTTTTAAATATATAGGTTAGAGATGAAATTTATAATTTTTTATAAAGTTTTTTTAATAATAAAATTTTGCAGTATAGTTTTTTAATAATTGTATTTTTTTATAATTAATTATTATTTTTTTTTTTGGTATTAAGATGACCTCTTTGGTCTTTTGACTTTTATTAATTACTTATCAGTATTGTGGTTCAATAAACCACTACAGGAGAGCATACAATTGGCTACATATGTAATTTTTCTATATTACCTATTTAAGGAGTCTGCTCAAAGGTTTCTTATCAATTGTTGTATCTAATACTTCTGCTTGAATGTTTTACTTTAAACTCTTTGAACCTGTAACCTGTGTTAATATTACTGATCATCTCAGATGCCCAGATCATCATCCTCAATCTAAGGACTAATTTATCTTCAAGATAAACCTCCCAGAGCCTTCTGTACCTATTTTTACAGTTGATCTAAGTATTGCTATAGCAGAACCAACACTTGTAATCAGGATTAACTATTAAACTGCTATGTTCTTGTAGAGTTTACTTAGACCCTAGCATCTACTTTACAGCATAACTCTAGTACTTTAGTATACCCCTGCCTTTTGTTCAGCCTTTTTACTAAACTTTCAATCCAGATAACTCATGTAAGACTACAACCAGTCCATTGATATATCAGGTCAGCCTGATATCCTTTTCATTCAGTTCATTCTGATGACCTGATTAGTAGTATCCTCAAGACTTCCAACTTAGAGGTTCTTGCCTGTCTGGCTACTATGACCAGGTATTATGATCTTGGTATTTGTTTCCTCAAGCTAGCCTTTACAATAAGGCTATCGAAGATCCAGCTACCTCTCTACTTGGGTCTTCCTAAATGAACTTCTTGTTACCTAATTTCAATAGATTTACATGATTATAAGGACTTATCTAATGTTTGTACTATCTAATATATTGGTTTGCATTTCTCTGTATAACACTATACTTACACAGATGCCCTATAACTTGCCAGTCATGCTGATGCAACTGTCATTACAGATATTCTAACTCAATCATTAGTAACAGTTGTCATAATATGAATATTACATAAGTGATTATTCAAATTTTTGCTATCAATGGGATTTGAACACTCAACCTACCACTTGGAGGGTTGAAAATCTGACTATTTCACTAGGTTGTTACACCCTTATTCTTAAATAATCTTAAATTAATATGCATATTTCAATTATTATTAAAATAATTCTAATGTATTTAAATCTATTCAAATTATTTTAAACAGTTTTAATGTAATCAAAATTTGATTTTTATTTATTTTACTTTTACATATTTTAATTATTTTGAAGTATTTTTAATATTCTTTGTTAATATTCAATATTTTAATTGCTTTTTTGCAATTTTTAAATATAATTTTTATGTATTTGAATATTTTTGCATTTCATTAAATATATTTAGTGTACTCAAAATTTTTAATTTTTAATTATTTTGAATTGTTTTGCTTTTATTTAAATATTAATATATAATTTTAATGATTTTACTATTTTTAGTGTTTTCAAAATATTGTAAAATAATTTAATTTGCTTGTAAACAAATATCTATATTTAGTATATTTTTTTGATTATATGCATTCTTGTATCATTTATTGTTTTTAAATACAGCTTTAATTTTTAATATATGTTTTTATACAATTAATTATTTAATACAAATATTTTAATTAATAATAAAAAAATTATAATATAATAAATAATTATAGCTAATTTATTGTTTTTAATAGTATATGATTAAATTAATAAGTAGCAAACAATGCAGAAGTTTTCAAATATAGAAAAATATCAAATATTTTTTAAAACTTAAATGTATTTTTTAATATTTTGCATTATTTCAAATTGTTTTAAATTATTATAATATTAAAATATTTAAAATTTTTCAAATGAATGCAAATATTTTTAAATTTTATTAAGATAATTTAGAAATTTTAAATATTATTTTATCAAATTTGAATACATTTTTTACATACTAGATAAACTTTAATATATAGCTTTTGAATGTATACAAAAGTTTGATTTTATTTAAAAATTTTCACAAATATGTAAATAGCTTAAAAAATTCTTAATTTTTTGATTTATTTTACCTTATTCTTTATTTTTAATTATTTCATAATTACAATTTTTTAAATTTTTTTACAATATTTCAAATCTTTTCAACACTTAGAAATATTCTTACATATGAATATAATAATAATAAGGATAATTTAAGATAAATATACTATGTTATTTTTTTTTTTTTTAAATATTAATGGTGAGGCCATGCCTCTATCTTTATTGAATATTCAATTGAGATTTTACAT